CGATATGACAGACACTGCCCAGCTGTGTATTTTTATATCGGATGGTATTCAATGACATGTTGGCTAAGGAAGAATGTTTGACAATCATTCCTCTGAAGAGAAGATTCGTGGGGAAGATATATATAACGTTTTCTTAAATTTTGTACAAAACTACGAGCTAACCAATATATAAATTAATGTGCATTTACAACCGATGGAGCACCACAAATGACTGGAAACAAAAACGGGTTTTTTTTTGTTTGGTTTTTTTATGTAGAAATTGACGCATGCTTGTGTCGAGCTAACTGAGAGAATGTCCTTGCATTTTTTTTCATTCCATTGCATTATACATCAACAAGTTTTGTGTTCAAAGTGATAAACACGGAGGAAATTATGGGCCTTGCAGCCAAAATTGGTGAATTCCATCCGTGCACGTAGCTTGCAACGGCGCTCTTTCAGTGCAGTGGAAGTAGGGATGTCAGCTGAACACACTGATTTTGTTCTTCACACGGACGTCAGGTGGTTGAGTCGCGAAAATTCCTAGAAAGGTTTCAAGAATTATGCCCGAAATAACATCTTTTCTAGACAAAAGAGGTGATGACACTCAGATTTTGAAAAACGAAAAATGGCTAAATGATTTGGGCATTTTTGATTGACATCACAATGCACTTAAACACCGTTAACTTGGAGCTTCAAGGTAAAGGAAAAACTATTATTGAGATGATTAGCGCAGTAAACGCATTCCAAAGTAAATTGCAACTTATGATAGATCAACTGAAAAGAAAGGATCTGAAATATTTTCCGTCTTTGAAAGCAAGTTTCCTCAGTTGAATTATGGATACGTATGAGCTGAATTATCAAATATTTTGGGACAATTCGAAATGCGTTTTTATGATTGCAGTAAATTGGAAAATATAGCATCATATTATGCGTTATCCTTTTTCACGTTAAAAACATTGAGGAATTAGCTACTGAAATAGCACGTCAGTTTAATATGAACTCATGTTCTATTGAAATGAGTTGGTGCAGATTATATCAGATATACATCTCAAAGCTACAGTATCTGATACAAATTTTCTGGCGTTTTATATTGAAGATAAAATCCGAATGTAAGGCAAATCGCCCTTCAACTGACGGCTTTTTTTTTTGTCAACTTACTTGTGCGAGCTGCATTTTCTGAAATGAAAGATAATTAAGTCAAAATATCGCAATCGACTAACTGACGATCATATGACATCATGCTTGCGATTACACTCAATGATTACGTTACCATCTTATGAAAAGTATGCTGAGGACATGCAGTGCACGCTTCAACATCCAAAGCCACTCCTTAGTTAAGTTTAACACCATATGTAATCTTTGTGTTTGTAACAACAAATAAACTGCAATTTTGAATAACTATGCGTTTTTTCATGATATTGTAGGAAGAACCTAACTAAACCTAAGCCAAACCTTGACTAAAATAATGTACCATATTGTGCAGAAAGCTAATATCTAATATATGCTACGGTACGTCCTACCCCGTTCGGTAGGGTGTATCGTTGTGTATGACCGACAACCCTGCATCACACACACTTGCGTCTCTTAGAGTCGATACGTAAGTAGTCTAAAAATATTGAGTCTAGTCGCCAGCAGTTGAAGTTGGAGCACCCCGATATAGTCTATATGAGAACTGCACAAAAATACAAAACATCTTAACGGAAACAGGAACGGGAACTGTCTACACAACACAGGATGGTACTGCAAAACTGGAGGATGAAAAAATGGAGGAAGGGAAAGAGAAGAATACAAGAAAATAAATGTAAACAAACTAAGATAGAAAGTGTGCGAGAATTGTACACGGAGGAAACTACACAAAGACTGAGACAAATAGAGTACCAAAAGAAACCATGACACTTGGAAGAAAGATGGATATTTACAGTGGAGTATTGAAGACAACGCAACTGAAGTGTGTGGAATCAAAAAATATAATAAACCAGTTGAAAACGACAAGATGGTGGAATAAAGAAGTGAAGACAGAAATAAAAGAAGAAAAATAGCATGGAAAAAATACATCGAAAGGGATTCGAAAAAGATAAGAAAATACAATAAGCAGAGACGATTGGTAAACAAAGACAGAAAGTCAGAAATGACAGAAGCAACAAACATTGGAAAGAATTTGGAGAAGAACTTCAGGAAGAATATTAACAAATATAGAAACTTTTGGACGACAAGGACCGACACATAAGGCAAGGAAACGTAAGGAAATAAAGCAGTAAGAGATACTTCAAACCCAATTACAATAAACCAAAAACAAGTAGTAGAGAAAGGAAAAACATATTGAGAAAAATTTGATACCGAAGTGATAAAGGAAGACAATATAATCAATGAAGGCGAAGAACACACAGAGCTAGAGCAAATAATACAGAAGAAGTAATAGAAGGATTATCAAATATAAAAATAGGCAAGGCAGGTGGAGATGATGAAATTGAACCGGAAATGGTAAATACATGGGAGAAGAAGGACTATACTGGCTATGGAAAATATATAAAGAGGCGTGGGCAAAACAACAATCCTAAAGACTGGCAGACAATATCATCGTGCCAATATCAACAAAAGGAGAACATGTAAACTGCGACAACTAGAGAGCAATATGTCTATCATCGATATGCTTTAAAATATATACGAAAATAATAGAGAAGAGACAGACAAGAAGTAGAAATAGTATTGGGATTAGAACAAACGGCATTTAGACCGGGAAGACAGACAAATGATAACACATATATTATTAGAGCAGCCATTTGACACGATAGTAAAGACATATTATAGGGAAATGCTTGAGGAAAATAAATTGTACCTAATGCATTGATAAAAATTATAGAAAGTACTTACAAAGAGGTAAAAGGAAGGGTACAAATAACAGGGGAAAGATCGGAAGCATTTAATTGGAAGAGAGATATTAAACAAGGAGATAGTCTCAGCCCTTTGCTATTCATACAAGTAATGAACTAATTTATAAGAAACACTAGACATGAATCATTACGGGCTATATAAAGACCATTACACGGGTCTGCGCACCTGGCGTGAGCGGTAATTTTTTTAGGCCATATAGCAGAAATGGCATTGGCGTGAACGGAAAGTATTACAAATTCCTCTATGGCAGGCAACGTGTTAAACTGAGGCATCGATAACGATATCGATATAACGTTTATAATGGTTTGTTTATTTTTATTACTTACAGTGGGTGTATTATATTACCTATAATATTAAAACAATGTGTATTTGCGTTCGAATACCTGGCCTGTTATAATTAGTTGATTGCAGTCTAGCAGATAGGTGTTTAATACAGTTGTTGAAATACCATGAAGAGTTAAGCATCGTGCGGTGAATCGTGTCGATTAATAAATAGTGGCAATGGAAATTTGGAAATATCTATTATAAATAACTATTTTATGGCCGTTATTGGTAGTAAGTACTACTAGTATTATTAAACTTATGTTGTTTTTCTAGCTTAATTATTTTAAATTTCGTTTAATAAATTAAGTGGGAGATACATTAGCAAATTAAATTAATATCGATTATTGAAATAGTTATCCAGTTATCCGATTTTCATTTATTTTCGAGAGTAGGCATATCTATATGTTAATCTTCGTAAATGGGTATATTTATTTAAAAACCCTTAAAAGGGCTACATAAAAAAACAAACGTTTTCGGACTAAACAGTCCATCATCAGGTTTAAAATTGCTAGGTTAAAATGCCTGAGCCACCAAAATACCAGAGTAAAAACCCTTTAAACTACATGTAGTTGTAAAAGATTGTACATATTGTTGTTATAAAACTGTGCTGTTAAATATTAAATTGAATTTAACTTCAGGTAACATACACCCATGGTTGAAGTGAGTTCCAGTGTCCGGAGAGTAAACCTCTTCAAACGGACTACAGCTGGTTACAAGTCGGATAAATGCAGACTCCAACAATATTTGTGGCAGTATTCCAGTTTCGTATATGTGGTTATAAATGTTTGTTAGTTCTGAGACATTGTCGTCGTCTAGAAGTTTGAGCTAGTCTGATGGTATTTGGTCAGGGCCTGGAGATTTCCCATTTTTGCTTTGTTTGATGGCTTTCTCTACTTCTGCTTTTAAAATACTAGGACCACTATTCGTATAATTTGTGGCGTTAAGTGGTGGCCTTGTATCCAGAAAGAGCTCTTTTATGTAGTTGGTCCATTCGTTTAAGTCGAGAATAATTTTACCTTTGGAGTTTCTCATAAAGTGAGTAGTTCTTTTTCTCTGAGTGTAGGTAATTTCTTTAAGTTTTTTGTGTATATTAAACTTGTCATGTTTTCTTTGTAGTTCTTCTATCTCACGATATCTCTGTTCCATCCAGTCCTCTTTTGCTCGCTTAACCTCGTATCTTATTTGTCGATATATTTCTCTATATCGAGTCTCATTAATTTTACAATTTTTTCTTTGCTGAATAAGGTCTAGTATGTTATCGGTCATCCAATCTTTTTCCTACAGGCTCTTTTTCTGATTTTAAACTTCGTTTGCTATGGTAACCATGACGGAATTCACTATATCTATATTTTGTCAGATATTTTTTTTGTTCAGATCTTTCCAGCTGTTTTTTAATTTCATGATTTATCTTATTTCCGAACTCATCTGCTATTACGTGTTAGTTTCACTGACAAAGTGAAATATTATGGTGTTCTTAAACAAAAAGTTAACCATATCAAAGAATTTTTCTTTAGTAATTTTACAATGTTTGGTAATATTAATATCAGACCATAGATCTTAGACAAAAATGTTTAATATACATTACTAAAGAAACATACTACATCTAAGCTAGCCAATATATAGTTTTGAGGTAGAAACATACCATTGAAAAGTTTACTTACTTCAAAAGAATCTTTAATATAATATAGGTTATTAGTATAATATGCTTTAGTGAGAATATCAGTTATAATCATTGCTATACATTCGATAACACCTACCAAAGTACTTTGATTATCATTTTAAGTAACTATGACAATTTGTTTTAGGGCCATTTACGAGAAATCTGCTATGGCGAATATAACACTCGACATAACCAGTCAAATTAAGCAAACGGCTGTCAGCATCCACGAACCACTAGCAATCCAAAAACCAAAAACTACCGTAATGGCTTCTTTCAACACAGATATTTTTCCATACGCTTTAATTGTAATTGCCTGCATCATAGGTATCTTAGGGTTTATAGGAATCATTTATATCTGTGTGTCTTGGTCAAGGTAAGGATTTGTTTTAAAATAAATGATTTTTTGAATTCGTGGTCAACTATATATTTTTTATGTTTATATGAAGTTTGTGGTTTATTTTTTCACTCTCGGTAATTTTCAATGTAATTACAGTTTATTTGATTAGTAAGTGGGAAACACGGGGAAAATGGGAAGACATAAAAAAGGCGCGTCACCCACACATAAGATGTTAATTCTCGTCTAATTTCAAATTATTAACAGTAATCTAATTGTCTACTGAATAGTTCGACCGATGTGGGACCGAACCACTTCCGCAGATTTTAGAGCCACGAGAGTCTTTTCCTGCCTAGCCCTCGCTTACTGTCTATTTTCAAGCCTCAATACTCAATATGTGGCCTAGATATTCAAGCTTTCTTTGTTTAATTGTGGCTCACCATTTCTTTCTCCTTTCCGGTCTTTGGATTACCTCTATGTTGGTGACATGTTCGGTCCAGGATATATGAAGAATTGCGTCGGTACACCCACATTTCGAATGCTTCTAGTTTTCTCGTAAGCGTCTCTGTCAGCATCCAGAGATCCACACCATATAGTAACGATCAAAATGCAGCATTTAACTAGACGAAGTTTTAGAGGAAGAGACAAATCCTTACTTATGAGGAGCTTTTTCATATTGTTAAATGCTGCTCTAGCTCGTTTCTATTCTCGCCTTAATTTCGTGCTGTTTCGATTTTGCATTTACGTTGGTGCCAAGGTACACATAAGACTACATGGTCAATTAATATGTTACTTATCCGTAATTGTTGATCAGATTGTTGCTTTTTGCTGATCAGCATCCACTTTGTCTTCTTAATGTTGAGGCTCAGGCCGTATTCCTCACTAACTGAATAAACTCTTTCCATTACCTGTTGTAATTCGTCTATGGTACTGGCAAGGATCACCGTGTCGTCGCCATATCTTATATTGTTCGTCAAGTCGCCGTTTATTTTTATCCCTCATTTGCATTTTCCATACATTTGTTAAATATTTCTCGGAATAAATATTGAATAGGAGTGGGGATAAGATACACCCTGATGGACACCTCTTTTGATCTGCACACTTCCAGTGAGTTCGTTGTCAATTTTTGCTCTTGCTATTTGACTCCAGTATAGGTTTGCCACAATTCGAATGTCCTTGTCGTCAATTACCACACGGGTGCAATGTTTTTTTTTTGCACTGTGCACGTGTGCAAATGTGTATGTTTTTTTGTCTTGCCATTTAAACACATGAGTTACCAACATGACAGCTATGACTGACGTATATAAGAATAACAGGTCGGTAATAGGTTGTTTCTTAAAAATTTGTTTTAGAAATAATTTTGAAACATTGTAACCTCGGAAAGTTTTTTGGATGGTGCTAGAAAGATCACCAACGGAGACACTGAACCTTAACCTCTAAACGTTTATTATTGTTATTAACAGCTTTTATTATTTCTAGGTATAAATCTTACAAGGAGCAAGTCCAACGGCAATACACAGTGCCTTCTAGTCCGACACGATATGACACTGTCTACGTAGAACCAAATCTAAAGGAATACGAGACTCAAGTTCTACAGATGTGCGTGCCTGTAGACGATCAGGAAGATTACAACGATCTACATTTAGATTTTAGTAATAAGAACCATACGTTTAATTTAGACAACGTCAGTTATATAAGCAAAGATAATAATCTTAAAAAATATGGTAAGTAGAATTTTCTTATTTATGTAAATAAATTTGAATTTTTGAATTTACAAATATAAATATCTATATGGCGAAACTAGATTGAAATATTTACCATTGTGCTTTTTAAAACTTGCAAAGCAGATAGATTGATGAATTAGTCGGCAACGGAATCTATAATTTGCTAAATTTGATAAATCTTTATATTTTCAGGCCAACAAAGTCCTGCCAGCAGCGAATCTGCTACAACTGCTAGAGCATCTAGTGTAGGAGATCATGTTTTATCAAAAAATCTCGATCATTCTTCAAGGAATGATCATATGTATAGGTGGGTACCAATATTTTATTGTCATTCTTCTGTTTCCTCTTTATAAGTAACTCTGCTTGTTCATTAACGCATTAATACCTCTATGGAAGGTTGTCATTCTATCTTTTGCATGGTCGTCCGATACTTCTTCTGCCGATTGGTGACTCTAAGATGGCTCTACTGCGGAATGCTGCTGTGGTAATTTTTTCACTAATTGTAGATTTCTATATGGCTACTGTAATATTTTCAAACCCTGACATAAATTACAGTTTTCTATCATTATATCCATTGGGTGAGTTGCCAAATTGTGTAGACAGTAATTTTATCAAATACAGTATAACTTTATTACATTACTAGTAGACCAAGTAAGCAAAGATATCTTTAACAACATCTTTATGTATAATATTTTACTGCTCTGCTGTGTCAATCAGAATATAATATACCAAATAAACCAAGTTACGCATTTACAGGAATATTTGTTATTAGAAAAATAAGTTTCCTTCCATTAAAGAATGATTCATTCATAAAAACTTTTATCGCCAAAGAAATTTGTAGGTATCTACTTACGCGGCAATATCTGTAAATATTGTATTACCATTAAATTTATACATGACATCATATATTACATGTTTGTTGATAGTTAAAAATTAAGTCAATCCACAAAAACGTTTTTTAAAATATTCGAATATAACTTCCTTTTGTCTGTTTATTACTGGTTTCAGGTTTGGTATCTTCCTAATTAGTGCATCTTCTTCTCTTCTTTGTATGTGTCCAAAACATCTGTCTTGTGGATTAATAAATTTTATTATCTCTTCCCCTTCGGTTATATTTCTATTCTTATTTCATGCTTCATCAGTCTTCTATATTCTCCTTGTTCTGGCTTTATTGGGCTATGTATTCTCATAATTTTATTTTCAATAATTCTTACTTTTTCTTCATCTTTTTTCGTAAGACACATTATTTCCGCTCCGTATGCTATCACCGGTCTAATTGCTGCTGTAAATTTTTGTCTTTGTTTTTTTGCTGTTATTTTTTTATCTTTAAATAGTGAGTGATATTTCCAAAACACCCCGTTCTTCTTCGCCTTGTGTTTGCGGTATTGTCATGCGTTTGATGTATAATTTGGAATGGTTGATGCGTATTTAGTTAGCACGTTAGCACGATTCTATTTGGTCTATTCAGTTTGCTTTTGAGTCTGATTATCCCGATTTAGCCATACGGCTCACACTCCCTCTATGGGGAAATTTCACTCATCCCAGATACCTACGGTATTAACAAGGATTAAAAAGATTAAAAGGATTGAGCTCTGGTGAGACTCTTTCCGTGTAATCGAGCCCTAGGTGACTAGGTGGTATGTTGGGAGTATATCCCAAAAATTTTCGTACACATCTGGACGTCGCGTGGAGTACAGCTTTCTGAATGGCCTTATAAAGATGTCATCATGAGTATTATTATTATTATAATACAATGATATCGAGCCAAAGCAGAGCTTATGTGGCCCGAATTACAAAATATTTGTATGTACTAAACTAAATAATATACTATAAATCAAAATTTTCTTCACAAAGTAAAAATAAAAATAATTTGTAAAAGAATTAGTACTTACAAAAAGTTCTTGCAATAATAGCAAATTACAAAAATACAAATATTACAAAGTATACATAAGATTGCAAAATTTTATTCTAATGAAGAGAAATCATACCGTATATATCCTTATCATTTTAATAGTTTTCAGAAAGAAAAAAAGACAAAACAATATAGTTAACATAAGACTAAAACTGTTTCATTTATCAAAAACTCGGTTAAGTAAAAAATTTTGCCTTGCAGTGGTTTTAAAAGACTCCCTTTTTCAATTTATAGTTATGACCTCTTAGTCTAGCATCTTCGTTAATATTAAAAAAGTTGATGATCCCCAAAAATCCCCCTAAATATTCTATAAGTAGATAAGACATCATCTCTTTCTCGTCTAAGAGTTAATGGAGACAACTTGAGCTTTCTTAGTCGGGTTTCATAGTCTAATCTTCCATAATTAAAAGGTAGCTAGGTCCCTCTTAGTTGTACTCTTTCTAATAAATTAATGTCTTTTTGTAAATGAGGTGACCAAACTGACTGCAAATTCTAGGTAAGGTCTGACATAACATTTGTAGAGTTTCAAAAACAAGTCTGGAGACATTCTATGAAAAGCTTTTGATATAAAGTGTAAAGCAGAGTTCGCTTTACTAACTACTTTTGCTGTTTGAGTAGGCCAACTTAAAGTTTATTTGACCGTAATACCAAAATCATTAACTTTCCGTACCGATTTCAGAGGGACTCTATCCCAAAAATATGTATATCGACATTAATATGTAAATGACAAAAAATCAGAAAACTTAGCATGTAAAGAAGCAATATTGGTCTAAAAAATATTTATTGTTATCAACTTATTAGTTTTTTGCGGCATTTTGTTGGTTAGTACTAATAATAGTTGAAACTTTATTAATATACTTTATTGTTAGTTCCTTGTTAAGTACTTAACGTTTTTCCAGTTCCTCTCGCACTTTATTCAAATAGTTTAGTTGATATTTAGTTGTCATCCTTCAATTGAACTCTAGAAAATTTGGTTCTTAACACCTCATCTTATTGCCAACATAAATAATGGATTATCATTATCTGCAAATTTAACCTTTAATGGCCTAGGCTTATTACTATTGTTAACCTTGCCAATACGAAAAACGTGGAAACTGATAAAGAATATTTGCTTCTTGTATACAATCATCGAACTCCATTGAGTTAGTTTGAGAAGGTTGTTCCAAGGCCTCGAGACGATCCTTAATCGATGCGAATATATCTGATAACTTAAAAATTAAATCAGTTTTACTATATATTTTATTTTACAGTGAAATTTATTCAACTTATCTTCGAATGTTCAGCAAATATTACAAACGATTCCTAGTGACAAACTTCTTCTTGTGCAATGTCTAGACATTGAATATGAATAGGAAAATTGCACAGTAAATACAATTAAGGATACTCTTATTATGTTCACATGTTAAAGAACATGAGGAAGTTAAAAGAAGTAAAAAAGAATTTTTCCAACAAGCTCTAACCAGATTTTTAGCAGGTTTTAGCTGGTTACATGGACGCTTCGCAAGTCCATCTTTTTGATCCGATGTTGCTAAATAAGATATCTGCGCTGATCTTTCGAAAACCAGTTTAAAATTCCTGTATTTGGTATATTAATCGATGTTTACTTGTTTTTTAGATCTTCCGATGAAGACGAAATGAATGCCAGTCCAACGAATGATAATGTGATGTTTAAAGAAAAGAAAGACTATTTGAATCTAGGATTCACCTATGACCACTCACCTGTAGAAACAACGACGGAACTGTAGATAAATATTTTTAAGAAATGTGTATAGTCATATCTAACTAATTTATAATGATATATTTAGATATATTTTAGATTTAATTTTTTACTATGGATATTTTAATATAAATTTAGTTTTTATATAAAACCGTGTTTCAATTTAATACTAAACCATTTTAGGAACATATCCAGAAACCAGAATCAACCAGATCAAATAATTCACTCACATTCTTGCTTTACAATAATCGCATTGAAAAGTCTCCTATATCCAGGGTACAGGTACATTAATTTTCCAAAATGGCTCCAGATAAGTCTTCATAAAAAGGTACAGATTGGCAAAACTATTACATTAAAAAACCCATGACTTTGAGGGAATATTACTTCCCAATTTTATTCTGTAAAAACATATTAAATATTTAAAAGTATAACAACAAACAGTTTAGACTATCTATTAAGTCTGCATATGGGACTTCTCATAATCATATCCAAATCCACTTTAGGTCCAACCAAGTCTCTGATATTATTAAATCCGTATTTAATCATAGTTGGTCTCTCCAGCGACAATCCCCAAGCAATTACAGAAACATCTTCGGGCAAGCCCATTGGGAGTAACATTTCTGGTCTGAATACACCAGAATTACCAGTTTCTATCCACTTTCCAAGACCAGGATGGAAGCAGAATATTTCCATGCTGGGTTCAGTGTAGGGATTATAGGCTGGTTTGAATTCCAGTTGATCAATACCTAAAAAAATATATGTAGGGTAACTCAACAATGTAAAAATTGATTTCAAAGTTAAAGATGTGTTAATATTCTGTTATAAAACTTTTTGACTACAAAAGATTGTTTTATCTATAGGTATTTCACAATTTTAAGGTGATAAAATCGATTTTTCTAAGAAAAATAAATTATTCGATATAAATATCTCATTTGAGGTGGCTTATCAAGTTGAAAATTAAGGAGACTTAATATCTGATCTTGGGCACAACTTCGGGAAAGAAGATAAGAATAGTAACCAAAGCGCAACAAATACTGTAAAGAAAATTTAAAAGCCAGATTCATATGGAAAAAATTGAGATGATGGTGTCTACCATATAATGCCTTTATATTACAACAAAAATGTAACAAAAAGTGTTAAAACAACTTTGATTACCTAATTTTTTGAAGAATTCTGCAAAAACTCCAATCAAGTCCCCAGAGTTAAATTATAATCTGCTATCACTCCTTCCACTTGATGGAACTCTGCTAAATGTGTTGCATCTAAAGTCTCGTTTCTGAATACTTTGTCTATACTGAATAGTTTTATAGGTTTGAATTCTTTTTGCTGGGCTACTTTGTACAACATTCTAGCACTAACTGCAGTAGTATGAGTCCTTAGTAAATTTTTCTGTGCTTCTTCAATCTGCCAGTCATAACCATATCTGGAAACAAAAAATTATATAATGTTTCATACAATTTATGTTTTTGTAACCATTAACTCATAACCAATTGAGGCAATAACAACTATCATCAGAAAATCTAAGCTACCTAGTAGCAGATAAAATAATAATTTATGTTAACTTAAATGTCATATCTTTTATAACATTGCAAAGTGTTGTTCTTACTTACAAATACGGAACATAAAGAATATCATTTGCTGATAATTCCAAGTAGTATGGGTCCAAGGGCAAAACCCTGAGGAACACCAATATTAAGAACACCTCCTCTGACAACACCTCAGACACTCTCACAGATTTTACCCTGTTCTTGATGTATGATTATATCAATTAGACACTTTGTGGACAAAAGATGTATCTCTGTAGTTTTTTCAGGAGTATCCCATGGCCCATACAATCAAACCCATTACTCAAGTAACAAAACACAATAGTGATGAATTGCATCCTATGAAAGGATTCCAAGATGTGGGACACTAGGTCCAGAATGCCAAGAGTTGGGCTCCTTTCCTTCCTGAAACCAAACTGTGGCCATAAAAATATATTGTTACTTTTCTACTGTTTTAGAAATAACCGGGAGCAATGTGACAGGCCTATAGTTTTAAGGGATGTCAATTTCATCATATAATAGCCCTTTTTAGAACTGAGGGAAGTGTATTCTCTTTAACAACTACAAGATATTACAATTTGCTGATGATGTGCTAATTTATAATGACCAAATAAAAATAAATAATAAAGGTCTAGAAAACATAAGAGAGTTACACTGAAATTAGCAACAATGTGTTTGAAAATGTTATGACACATCCAAAAAAAAACCTGAGCATGTATATTTCACCAGACACAGGGTTGAGGCATCTAAAGCTTGAGGCTAGGAGCACAGTTTAACCCTTTGAGGACTGGTGGTTAAAGCTGCTAACCACAGATTAAATAATTTCTCTTTATGTGCCTGCTGGCTTCTAACGAAAACCGTTCTGTATAATTGGTTGCCTATGTACCCCACAATGATATTTCAGTAGTGGTTTATACAAATTCTGGGTAAAACAGTTATTATAGTCATATTTACATGAATGGCACATTGTCAGTGACAGATTCTGTGTCTTGCTTTTTGTATTTAATTATTTTGAGTGGTTTTTCTAATAAAAAGTGTCTAAAATATGTCAGGTGAATAGTATATTGTTTAGTAAATGTAATAACAACATAAAAGGAATAAAAAGTTTATCTGATGTGACATTTACCTGCACATTTTATGGCCGGTTTTGGTTGGTAACCACTAGGCACTTCCAGATAGGCTAGGTAGCACACTAGGCAGGTAACCACAAGATTCTGAATCAGTGACCTTAGATTTAGAGAATATAATGAACAATTAGCTGGAAGTTTTAGTAAACAGTATTCAGGACACAGAAAATATTATTCCTCAGCAAGACAAAGATGAATAAAGTGATGACGACTTGCCTCTGACTGAAAGACAAAGTAGACTCCAAAAAGAGGTCATAAAATGGACACTTGAAGTTTCACATGTGAATCAAATCAAGGAGTTTCGGGAAGAAACTGGACCAATGTATCCAAGACTATTGGAAGTCCTACAGATATGTTCCTACACTTGTTTCCTGAGGAACTCATTACACACATTGTTTTCCAAACTAATTTGTATATTTACAAAAAATGATGGTGTTAATAATTTTGTTTCAACAACCTGTGGAAAATAAAATATCTTGGGGGTCAATTGCTCATGAGTCTGAAAAATGCCAGTTCAGAGACTATGTTGTCCAAGAGAAATGAGAGATTCCTTATCAGCAGTGCTATTTCCCGAGACCGATTTTTCTGGCTTCTAAGTAACATTTATCTCAATGATAATTCCGTTGAACCGAAAAAAAAATGAGCAAAACTACGATAAACTCTACAAAATTCAACCACTTTTGAATAAACTTGCAGAAATGTTTATTTCTTTCATAAACCACGTAAATATCAATCCGTGGATGAGTCCATGATAAAATTTAAAGGTATGTTTTACACATATGAGGTTAGATATAGGTAACATAAACTCACAACATTTTTTACAGGACAAAGCAGCATTCGACAATATATGCCGAAACAAGCCTACAAAAAGAGGAAAAATTTGGGTAAGCGAGTTGTGGACGATCTGACAAAAGAGTTTTAAAGTTTTCTTTGTCAATTATTTTAATTCTGTTGAATTACAAAACTCTTTGTTATATAATCAAATTTATGCCTCCGTATTCTTAAGTGTTTTTTTTTGTCAAATTTTGAAAACCCTGCAATCAAAGAAGTTGCTTCTCGCAAAAGAAAAGATGGGTCTATAGAAGAAGTGAGTTGTCCAAGAATGGTGAATAATTACAATGACCATATGGGTTATGTCGATAAGTTTGATATGCTGGAAGGCCTTTACGAAATTGACATAAATCACACAAGTGGTGGCATCGAATATTCTTCTATTTTGTGGACGCTTGCCTTACTAATGCCCATATTTTGTATATAAAAAGAAGCAAATTCCCAAAATCCATCAATCTAAAGGAATTTAGGATGTGTGTTGCTAGAGGTTTGATTGGTCCAACTTCACCAAGTAAATGTGGTCGAAACTCATTTCCAAAAGAAGTAAATAAGTTTAAAAGGATTGTATGTCAAGAACTATGTTATGATAAAGCTGCACATCTGCCACAACGCTGCAGTTCTCTATGTTGCGCATTTTGTAACAACAAAACAGTGTTCATCACACCATTTGGAAATGTGTAGCATGTAACGTTGGGTTATGCCTAAACAAAGAAAGAAACTGCTTTTTATCATTTCATACAAAATAATAAATAGTTTTTCTTAAAAAAATTTCGGCTTCAACGGGTTAAAACAGGTTTAGATTTATACAGTTTGCAATATTTCCTTTAAATATTTAGACCTTTTCTATGTAATTTGTCTTTTTAGGTAGTTAGCAATTTTAACTTATTTACTTACCCTTTTGATCCATACCCTCCTTTACTGTGGACTTTTTTTACCCTTTCCATATAATCTGTGGGAAACTTAGTACTAGTTTTTGGATTAGAAATGAAGAATGTGTCATGAGCATCTCTAGCAGGATGTTGCTGAGGTTGGAAGAGAGCATCAAAGTTCCAGAATGAATTTTCAATGTAATTATTAGTAGGCATTTCAGAGAATCCCATTTCCAAGAAGATTTGCCTGAATTCAGAACGAACTTTGAGCAATGGATGAAGATACCCGGAGCTCAAAGGTGCTCCCAGTGCATCAAAGTTGTACTCTTTGAATTTCAAGTTTTTCCAAGCACCAGAGTTTATCATTTCAGAAGTAAGATCTGTTTCTAGCTTGGTGAGGGTTAGACTAAATTCTGGACCTTTCTTTAAATCAAAGCTTTTCACAACCACTTCTTGAATAAGTTTCCTCTTTTTATACTCCTGTTTTTCTTTATCTGATATTGAGGATATATCTTCAGACAAAATTTTATTGAGGTGTTCGTGAACTACATCTTTAATTTGAGGCACTTTTCTTTTTACAATTGGAGGTGTAACAGATTTATCTACTTCCACCCAACCTGCTGACATTGCTTTACTAAAACCTATTTTGGCATTTGG